TAAATACTAAATCATTGAGTTCAGAAATAAAACATGGTTGTTTAAAAAAATTAAGAGGCCATTTCTATTTGATGTTTATAGTTATTTAATATTGAACACATATTTAGTTTGATTTGGCAACGAAAGCTATTTTTATAACCTTTTGATTTATTTCCTTTATAAATATTTGTCATTTCATTAAATTTTATTTGTTTACGGGCGGAACGAGTTCATTTCAAAACCGTGTATTTATGGAGCGCAACCCACGTATAAGCAAATTGAACATTAAACATTTATATGACTTTCAGATACCTACCTATTTTTATATAGTTACTAGCTGACCTGACATATTTTTTGTCATATAAATTACTTCGAAAAGTTAAGGGTGAATAGCCCTTATCACTTACGGATATGAAAAAATAGGCAGTATCTGATTCTCAGACCTAATGATTATGCATATACAATTTGGTAATAATTAGTATAGTCGGTGAGGAGGAATAAGATATTATGTAACATTGTGATACGAAATTTTTGGAAGTTAAATTATAAAATGAATTACTGAATATTTTGAAGCTACAGCGTAAATCTGCTTCGTAGTTCATAGACAATTACTTTTGTTGTTTTTTATTAGGATTCAGAGTAAATATTCAAATTCGGAAGCTGATAACCGCAATCAAACTTTTTTCGGGCAACATTTCAATTAAATTTTATTCCTCAATTCTGTGCTTGTCATAAAACTTTAAAGTTTGACGAGTAAAGCCCATTGAGGAACTCCGAATTGATATTAATTCAAATAACTCGGGTTAAAAAGTCAGGGTTTTATGCGTGTTGTAAAAGTTTATTGTAGGGCTTTGTGGCGAGCCGGACGCGCCGATAGGCCTCGCGGCCGATGACGGAACCTGCGCCGCCGCCGCTGTCCACCGCGCGGCCTTTGTGCCCGCGCCCGGCCGCCACAATACCGCACGCGTCTTCACCCTATAAATCCCGGCATCAGGTGCTACCTATCGCCGCATACTGCACCTTTTATAGCCGCAACTAAAACCAAAACTGGAGACGAGCTGTGCACCGGCGCGGCGATACCAGCTATATAATTAAGTTGCGCACCTCCATCATAAAATAGGAGAGGAAGAAATTGCACAGGCAGTATAAATTGACGCGTCTTACTTACAAAACTTTATTGTACAAGTCAACACCCTCTATATCACTTTGCTAATGTGGACTTTTTATAGGCTCTTGAAAGCTTCGGTACCTGGTATTGAAAATAGATAGATAGATAGATATCATAAGACGAATATCTAATTTAGAAAATAAAGTAATTTATTGTGCATCAACTTAAATGTTACTCATAAAAGAAATTAGTCTTGATATTTATTATAAATCTTTTCCTAATTTGCGATTAGATATGAACGTCATTTACAGATTAACGGACCTTCAGATACTATTAAATGTGCATAGCAGTCGTATGTCTTTATCCTCAATTTAAGCCGGCATCTCATTGCACGTGTTAACGAATACATTGTTCGAGTAAAGGTAGATCTTTCTCACCGGAATGTATAATAATTCTAACTGTTACTGTGATGCTCACATGAATATCCTTAAACACTGGGTAACATGTAACAGTATTTTTTTTAATTTATTGATCCTTTATAATATGATTTAATTCGATTTATGCACTATGTGCAAGACACAATGCCCGACCTGGGTGTGAGCATATCCACCTATTTCCTAAATAATTATCCACATAAATACAAATGTAAGCCCCCGGCTCGGCGGGGCAACCCCGCATTGCATTTTGCATTTGCACATTTTGCATTAGTATTGCGGCGCAATCAGGTACCGCGGCCTCAGCCAAGAGAAGCAGAAGTAACAGGGTTGTTTTAGTCAGTAAAAGTCTGATACTCTATCTGGCGTCGCACTGGGCGAAAGAAGACATTTGATGATTTTCCCTGCTCAAAAAAACAAATGTATCTTCATATGTCCTATTGTTCTCATTATTAAAAATCCGAACCCATCTTAATATATCTACTTTGATAAAGAAATGAAACAGGCTCTTATGAAAACGCTTAACACTATTCCCCAGTCCCGTCTTACTTTTAGTCCAATATTAGTATGGCAAACAGTTCTTAAGAATATTAACGAGTACAATTTCATATTTTGCCTAAAACACCTATTCCAAAAAGACAAAGACGATCGCTGGCTAACGGAAAAAAACACAAAAGATTTTTCATAGTAAGTAGGTATAACAACATGGCGGGTGACACGGAGTCTGCTGTAGCTGTCTGACAACTCTATTCAAATCGACTGGCGGCAAAGTGGCTCATTATATCGAACTTGTTTTTGGAAAATATAACTTCTTTACAGACTACTACTAATGTTTCATCGACGTAAGTAATTATAATTAGGATGAAATGAGGATTAGGTTTCAACTCAAAAAAAAATTTTAATGTCTGGTGCGACAAGCGAGTTTCCTTTCAGCCACCTATGAACAATCATAGATGAGTTACTTTATAGTAAGTTGCTTGCCTTATAGGACAGAGATTGGTCCTCCCGTTCAAATAAAGCTATGCGTCACTTCCATTGATGATATTCTCCTCGGGTGTCTACTCAAAAACCATAAATATTGACAATAGATCTAATTAAGGATATGATATCACCCTTAGCGGGTTGATATTTTGATACGGTATACCTCCACTTGAATGTATCTACACTTTAAAACGGGCACGTAGACTCACTGACTAACAGACAGACTATTATACTATTTTTGATGTTTCACGGTTTAGTTAGCATTTTTTTTTTTTTTTTTTTTGCAAAATACATTTATTTAACGAAATATGTAAAAACAGCATCTTCCCTTAACGTAGAAAGTAAAGACTTTAGGAGAAAGAAACTGTACTAGACTGGTCTCGCAGAGCCTTCAGAAAGACAATTTTATTGATAGTTTATGAATTACAAATTTTGATATTGTGCTTGACATAACTACCAGATTACAGTAACGAACCGACGAAATTAAACGAAAACTTGTTTGTCTAAATTTTCATCTTATTAAAAGTATGGCTATCATTGTTGTTGTGTATCGTATAGAATTAAGATAATTTTCTCTATGATTGGATAGGGATAATTGGATATTGCATAATAATTCTTGGATATTTTAACATTTTTACTTTGGTGCGGAGGTATCAGTCTTTCCATACTATAAATAAGGCAGGATAGGTAAGATATTTGCACTCTTACTCATACTGAAATAGTTTAGTTTTAAATATCTTTACTCAAATTGTGAATCACGGTGGCCAGTCTATCTTAAAGACGAGTACGCTATGCAGAATAATTATAATGCACAAAAGTGTATCCCCAGTGGGATGAGAGTCCTATACAACTGTGGAGAGGTCAGGTGCAGAACAACGACTTTACTTGCTTTCCAATTTTTCATGTTTCTTTTCTGTCATTACCTGGTAATTCTGCATGTACAGTGTACACGACCAGGCGTATAACCTGCTGGTAAGTGATCAGCATCCACAACACTAGAGGAGTGATAAGTTCCTGACAGTGACTGATTCCTTAAAACGCAAACGACCCAACGGATTACCTGGTGGAAAGCAATCAGCGCCACCCATGAACACCTGCAACAACGGAGGGGTGGTGCAATGCCAACCTTTTGGGGATTAGGAAATTGGGGTTGGAGAGGGTTTGGGGAAGAGGAATGATTGGTAACCTTACTCAGATAGCGAAACACAACGCTATGGTTGTTTCACGCCGGTTTTCTTTGAGGTCGTGATATCACTCCGGTCGGGCCGACCCATTCGTGCCGAAGTATTGCTCTCCCACACTTGTGTTTTCTGCCAACCGTCTATACATATGATGGAAATGGATGAAGTCGCGCGGGTCCATGGCGAAAAGATTTTTTTATTTTTTTTATTTATGTCGGTCGACAAACGAGCAGACGCATTACCTGTTGGTAAGCAATCAGCGCCGCCCATGGACACTCGCAACGGAGAAGTTACGAGTGCGTTGTCGACCTTTTAGGGATTGATTGAATGATTTTAGGGATAGATGCAGCGGGGAGCAAACCAAACAATTTCACCCCGTAGTATATACGATAAAAAAACGCATGCGCAGGTGAGGCTACATCCCTACGCAGTGCAAGAGTATCTACAGTCGGTTTGAAACATCCCGGCCATAGATTAATATACGTAGTAATAAGTACTGACGTACTGATCCCGGCAGTCAACGATTCGCGTTATCTATACTTAATATTGTACAGCTAAAGAGTTTGTTTATTTGTTTGAATGCGCTAATTTCCAGAGCTATTGGTTTGAATTGAATATTTCTTTTTGGGTTTAAAACATCACGCTTTAGGCTATAAAACGTCACGCTACGATTTTTAGGCGCCGAGCAGCGAGGGAAACAGCGCGACAGAAACTATTCAGGTATATACACTGTCACAAGGATTTAGGAGCAATCAGCAGCTTGTTCAAAACCCTTACAAAAATTTGTCCGGCCCGGCATTGAAACCGATCGAGTCCTGGTACTCGGCTCTACATCACGCGTCCGTAGAATGTCTGTAGGTACCCTTTTTTATCTAACTGGTTCTGAACGAAAATTTAAAAAGGGTTTATGACAGCAACCCTATGAGGGTTGTGAAGACTACTAGATAACATTCGATTATTTAACTCCACCAGGAACAATTTGACTCAATAATCACTAAAAGAATATTTAAAATCTTTAGCCTTTAACTTCTTATTTGCAATTTCAGCTTCCGATTTTTTTCTCTTCAGTGTTCTCCCGTAGTACCTATTTTTTTTAATATAGTTATTATCAAATTGCAGAACGCATACGGCGTCCTTTTCATAATCTTAACACATTAAAAGGTATAAAACAAGTTAACATAAATTCCAAAATCTCCATCCAGAGATCACAATAGTTTCTTCAGCAGTTCAGCCTTGTAAATAATAAAACAGTATCTAGATATGTAAATAAATAATGTAATACTTATAAAAAAAATTAGATTAATATTTAAACCTTACCTTTCGTCACCTGTTACTTTGTCCTCAATTTCGGCGGTTTATAAAACACATTCAAACAATAAAGAATCCTTTATTTCACTCCAGTTCACAATCCACGATTTCAACACATTAACTCAAACAAAATACATGGTTATACAGGCTGTTATTTTACACAAATTAATTTAAAAGGGAAAACAGTCAATCAAACGACTCGATATTTAATTGCCAATATGAAAATTAGTTCCTATATCTGTCACAAATCACAAATCTGTGCTGGCGTGCCAACTGCATGAGCAACTACCGCAAACTCGACCGCACTACACTTCATTAGCGCGTATACAGCGCAACATACCCACTACAATTTAGACGAAACACACAATAAACACCCATATAGCCTCAGTGTAGAACATCTTTTCCTATTACATGTCCAGGTCTCATCTTAAAAGATGACATGCAAATACATGCTTTATAAGTATTGCGATAGAGTTTTGTATGTAGTGTGTTCGGTAGAATGATGCGAACAGGCTAACTGACCGAAGCCCCGCCTCTGACGTATTGACAAACAAAGCGATTGGCGGTGAGGTGAGCACGCTAGCGAGGCAATCCTGCGCAGCATTGAGGCGGTCACTTAGATAACACTTGTATTTCCATAAATTTTACCTCCAATTACATTTTTTTGTAACATTATTTTTACACTTACATTTGTTTCGTAATATTATAATTCTAAAATCATTGTCTATAAGGCTGATTTGTCTCTCGGTAGAGATTTAATTAAATTCTCCTTTACAATATAGGTATTTAATAAATTATTCATTCATATAAAAACTAACTAATAAACATAACTTAATACTTAATAACAATAATACCTATCTTAATATATACACACAGTAAAATTATAAGAAAATAGTATTTCAAGAATTACTTATTTTTGCCCCCTATAAAATTTTCGACCCTGTCAAATACAAAAACTAGAACATTTTACCAAAAATCGCCGTTTTCTTACTAGGCAACGGAAGTCGAATTAATTTGGAATCTAAGCATTGAGAGGAAAAATCCAAAGCTCATATTAAAGTGCCGGAATTAAGAGTCCAAACTATGAAGTTCTAATCAATAATTTATTTACAGACAAGCAGTTTATTCAAATATAGGATCTATCCAAAATTAGATGAACACGAGATGATCTTTGAAAATTAGCATGTTCATTCATATATTTACCAAAAATCAAATACATGATTTCTGATTGCAATAAAAAATGCATGCGTCATCTACATACACTTTTCTCCTGGTACTTTATTCGTTCGTAGGTTCTAATATAAACCTATATTATAAAGTTAGTCTTAAAACAATCGACTCGAAATATCGTCGGCCGTCGCTTAAAAAACTTAGGTAAGTTAAATGACATAGGTACTAATAAAAGTATTTTTTATTTACAAAATATTTATTTTTGTGTTCACCGTGGCAGCCTAGAACGAGTATTTCAATAAGTAGATACTGTCATTTCCTCAATACTTTTTGTCCAAAAGTTTTTTTAGGGGATAGGTCGACAAACTAGCAGATAGATTACCCAATGGTAAGCATTCGAAACCGCTCATGGACATTCATAATACCAAAGGAGTTACTACAAGTGCGTTGCCGGCCTTTTGTGAGTTATTAGGGATGTAAGGAAAGATGATTTGGGGATTGGGGATCGGGGGATTATTGGTACCACCGGTAATCTGACTCAAACGGCGAAACACAATCCAAGCGCTATTTCACGTCGGTATCCTGTGAGGCCGTGGTATCAGTCCCGTCGAGCCGGCCTATTCGCGCTAAGGAATGTCTCTCCCACACCATACAGTTGATTTGGATTTTCGATTTGGAATTAAGTTAAACTGTTAAAAGTTTCATGCAAGACAAGACAAAACTCAACATTTAATTCAGTACCTATATTGAAAAAATTCTTTCAGGAAGCAATTCAGTCTTTCAGTCGTGGCAATTCGAGACACGATAGAAGTACAATATGTGCGCTTGCGTTTTTTTTGCGTTGGAGTTTGATTAATGATAATGTTTCTATAAATTTAAGAAGATCAAATCAAAGTATTTGTGGAGTTTAGTTACAAGCAGTTAGCATAGATTGCCTCAAGTTGGCAGCGTCTTTTACCTAAGGTATAGGTGGTGTCTGCGGAATATTAAACTAGCTCTGGTTTTAAACCCTAATAGTCACACCTTTAGGCTCAAATCATATTTTTATGCCATCTAGTTTTCGAACAAAAACGAGTTGAATTATTCGCACTACATACACGTGTCATAGACTTTAATCAAACGCGCTTCTTCTAATGACTTTCAGATTGACCAGTATCTACCAGAGTTATCACATCACCTTATACAATAGAATTGATAGGAATCTTCAAGTAACTGCTAAACCTATGATAGGACCTAACTAGCATTTTTTGTTCACCCTTATTACTACCGAGACGACATCTGTATAAAAGTGTCCGTTAACTTATCTGATTGGTTTATCAATCAAGTAATAAAGTTCAACCCAACTACAAGATTTTGCTCTCAGTCACGTAAAGTCAGCGTTATTTAAATTAAACAACAGACACTCATTGTTTGATTTGATGATGATAAAGAATGAGATAAAAATAAAAAATTATTCCGCAAAAATGCTACATCTTTGGGTGTAATAAATTTTTACTATTTCGAACAAAAGTCATCTATCAAACCTGTTTATCATTATTGTAAATAAAGGAAATAGGTAATGAAGAGTCATTTTGATTTTCGTATTTTATTACCACATAGTAAACTTTGAAGCATATATTGTATTTGCATACAAATCTTTAAATCTAACGTACAAACTTTTCTAAAAAAACTTCTTTAAGTGCTTCTCATTGTTACACATGTATGTAAGATATAGGTAAGTATACATACATATAGAAACGTTCATTAGAAAACTAGATTACCTACTTAAATATGAGTAGATAGTTGCGAAAACTTTCCCTTCTTCAAAACGCTCGATTTGAAATCGAACTAATTTAAGTTGCGGTAGGTAGGTACTTTCTTCTCTGATATTCCATCTTACCTATAGCTTACCTACAAATGTTTATAGCCCAAAATTATTTAAAAATGATCGATAACCAATGAGATATAAAACAGCTTTCACAAGGTACAAGTTGCACGTCATGTGTATGAAGACAAACGTACCTCCCGCGAGGAACTGCTGTAGACACCTAGTCAGCATTCCAATGCATCGGCCCGCCTCACCCAGTTACGGTCTGCCGGCCGACCAAGTGCTAATTGGTAAAGGAAACCTCAAACAACGAGCCAGCTCAATGCTCTCCACAGAAATGTTTCATTTTTAAACATCTCAGTGACCGTTATGAGTGTTATAACCGATAGATAGATACCCAATGCACTGGACGAGTCGATGACCAGAGCTCATGATCTAGGTTAGCTGAATACACGAAATTGTTCTCGTTTCTGCTAAGGGAGATAGTAAGTAGAGCAGTGTTATCAAGTTACCTCACTAAATAAATAGATAATGTCTTGTTTTATTATAACAAATAGCATTGAGAAAAATCACATAAATATTATATTATGTCTATAAGGTAACCTATTAGATATCTCATAAAAACATTTTACTTTGCGGTACCTTTGGTGGGATTGGCAAGAACAAGTGTTATTACTCGTACACGAAACTTTTTCAAAATCTAGTCGTAGTTAGCATTTATTCGTTCTTAAGTAGGTACCTATATTTTTGTTCTGTATTCTGTTTTGATACAATGGAAGAACTTACCTAACATATGTATTATACGTAGGTACATATATAGGACCGAAACATAAATGGATAAATATGTTTTCTTATGAAAAACTGGTCCCAAAACTTGCTGCGGCCGTCAAGTTTCAACCCTGTCCCTTCCCAGAAACTACTGAACCAAAATCTTGTGTATATTTGCTCAACGATACAAAGTCGACAATTTTGTAACATAATATAGGTAAGTATGTAGTTTAATTTAAAAATTAGGTACTTGACTAATCTGCGGAAGCAAATTATTCGATATATGTCTGCCATTAATGCGCGGAAACAACTAGGTACCAAATAGAAACTGGCTGAAACGTCATGGCCATAACAGTAACATAGTAAAATCAATTTAAATCAAATATAATGATACCTACAATGACAAATTTAATGTTCCTACAGAACACATTGTTTAAACAAACAAGATAACCGAAGGACACGAAAGGAAATCTGTCGGAGAAGCTCCGTGCGAGCACGCGCACACGGCTGCCCGTAAACTCAGGCGCAGTGTTTATTCGGAGCCCCATGCTAACTCTACCGTTTAAACACTACGTGCTAGCAGGGCATGAATTAACTTTTCATATAAATAAAATTCACGCTACTCTAACCTCCTGAAATTAACACCTTGGCGTAAATACTACTTAGTCTCGTCATCTCGTGGCATCTCTCTTCAGTGGTTTGTTGAATGGTCGTGTCGTTTATGGTCCACAAGATTACGTTGGCGGTCGTTTTAATTGCCAACAAATACGTATAAAGCCAATTAGACACCTACTCGACAACCGTAGCTGTGACCGCGCGAGCTACTTTATTATTTTCTTGTGATTCCATTTCATTATCGGTTTTTAACCTAATTAATATGAATAACTTGGTTTTTAATTGGTTACAAATAAAGTGAGTAGGTATATTTCGTCTACTTAGTAGATGTATCTCCAAAGAAAATTATTAAGATTTTTAGACACTTGAACTACCTAGGTAAAATACCTAAGAAGGGATATTAGTACCTAAGAATGGAGAAAATTGGGTTTATTGTGTAGAAATATGAAGCGAAGTATTTAAAAGTTATTTGATAAGAGAAAACAAAAGTCTCAAATTATAAGCATTCATATTTAATCGACAAGCCTGCATATAAAGTTAGATGAATGTAAGTTGTAAAGCGAAGAGGTGTATCAGATTTGTATGATATGATTTGAGCAAGGAGATGCAATAGAACGTCAAATACCTACATAATAAGTAAGTATTTGATGTAAGTGATGAAGTAAGTGTTCTATTGCATCTCCTTGCTCAAACAAGAGACAGACCTACGATTAATAAGGCAAATATGATATAAAGGTTTGTCATAGGTGACAAACAAGATGCTCACAATGATCACCCGTCGGGCCTGCGCCTGTACAAATCTACCTACCAAAAGACAGTACCAATTTCCATGCAATCCGTTACCGAATCTGAACACGTTCGGTACTAAATATCTTCTGTTATATAAATACGATTTGAAAACATATAAAATATTTTTTATATTTGCTCGTT